AGAAGGATTGTTATTAGCTTGATGGCCGAGTTTTTTGGAGTTTTGAAGGGGTAAGCTTACCGAACAATGAGTGATGGAGGATGTAGGGTTTCAGTTATGTCCGGGACAACAAAGGGTACGCACCAGACTGTTTGCAGAAGATTTTGCCGCTTTACTACTATACCTTTGCCTCAACAGCCGAAATGAATATTACTAGAGCCATCAAACGGTTGAACACTTCTGGAAGCTCAGTCGTAAGACTGCAAAACTCGTTGTTTTTCTACAAGCGCAAGAAAACTTTGGCAAGGCCATCTTTTTTCTTAAAGAACTTAAAGTTTGAATTCCATAAAATGATGTTGATTGAAGCTTTCATGCCTTAGTGTGATAAACCGTTTGTGTCTGCGGATATTCTTTCAGTGATCGAGCGCGTCACACTACCACCTTTGGTTTGTCATGCAACTCAGAAAAAGGTGAACTATAATGTGAGGACAAGTCGGTAAGACGTCAAACCCTCCGGATTTCAAACTAATGGTTTCTCTTCTGGGGACGAGGACAGATTTCATAGCCGCCCAATAATGGGTTCAATTTGGAAACAGAACGTGGGCGGTATGGCTGCGGTTGGTTGATGTTTTTGCCGTGAGAGCTCATCAATATTCGAAGAAAAAATCCGGAGAGATCTGAAGAAATGCTGAAGCTAGTGAGCAACCATGTATTCCAACTTTGAGACTAGATCTGGCAGCTCAGCCCTTCAGCTTATATCGTCCTAGTTTTAATGCATTTTGATTTTCTGTTCAGTTCACTGAAGACATTTGTCTGAGGAGTTTGTGTTCTAAAACTATGGCGAACGCTTTAGATCAGCGATTGTCAAGCCCCGTTTCTTGAGTTTATGGGTTCTAATTCATATGATACTTATGCGACAATTCATGGGCAAAACTGCTGCGCATGTGGTTCAAAGACTTCTCTGTCGGACACAATATGACAGGTCGGTTGTAGTTCCCATATACCGTAGAGCAGAAGTAAATACATAGTCATTTGAGGTGAAAATAGACAGGTGAAGGTCTAACAAAATCCAGTTATCATTTTGCTTTTTCGGATGTTTCCTGGCTAAAGACGTAAGTCTGCACAAACCAGACCCCGTACCGTGAAGAGACAATACACGGATGGTTCACATTTATACTTCGCCTAAATTGGGAATTCTATATGGAATCCTCACGCCGTATTTGATGTTTTTTTACCAGTATCTAAAACGATTCTACATTTTTCGTATTCGCTCCGTTAGGCATATAGGGCGGTAACAGAGGCGAAGCCTTGACCGTATATCTTCATTCTGTGACAATGTGCGTGCTCGGTTGTTTGTTGGCCTGTTCGCCGCGCTTGGCAGTTGGATTGCAAATGTTCCATCACCAATCGAGGTGACATCGTCACTGCAGGTTAGACTGGGTCGATGACGATGGCGTCTCGATTGCAACCCAACTGCCAAGCTCAGCGAATAGACCAACAACCAAACAACGCACCGGAGCTACCTACATTCCACAACATTGCTAACATGCGTGCTCATTACAACAGTTCGAAGGGCAGTTTGGGAAGAAACTGTGGTACAGATAATGCAACTGCACGATTGCATTTATACAAAAAAATTTACGACAAACTCCAGGAAAGATATCTTGCGGCGAGCATTCAATTTAAAAGTAGGTTGGCATCATCGTGGCGCACAATTTAAAATCAGATTAAGACCAACTCAGCTTGCACAATTGTGCCCCGCTCCACACACGACAGTTTGGTGTTTCAGCACAAGATACAGCTGAAACATTTTTGAACTGGGCTTACGTGATGAACCCCAAATTCTTCAGTGCTTTGTCCAGAGCCTCCATTAACCTCATGATGAGCACTGAAACCTCAAACATCTTGTCTTTTTTCGAATTTCAGTAGGTTATCAAGTCATGTTCCCGTACTCAAATTACTCACATGCAAGTTGGTATGCTCTTGTTTTTTCCTCAAATGTTCGAATTGTATTGTAATCACATCGCCGGCTATCAGGGTTGTACGACTTCTTTGAGAACTTGACGGAGTAAACTCCTCTTGTTGTTATTTGATTATTATTTATTTTTATTATTTGTTTATTTTATCATTTAGTATTTATTTATCTATTTCCATTATATTATTTAATTCATTGGACTAGATTCTGGCTACCGAATTGGAATAGTTTGGTCATTTTTTTCATGTACATAGTGAAGTTCCTTGTGCGGTTACACGCTTATGACATTGGGCCATCAATAGAACACGTTCAGTTATGATAAAGCGGGAAATCCACACTCTCCCCCACACTTATATGCCTGCTTAGGCTCTCGAACTAAAACACACTTTAACTAAGCAACTTGAAATAATCATTATTAGTCATTTTCATCCTAAAGTGGTCTCCATCCACAGCATTTTCATGAATATCGTCCAGCTAAACTCACTTTTACCACGTCGGTACTAACGGAGCTGTACCGTTTACTAGCCAATGCCATATAGCAAACCGTTAACCGGTCTTCCTTACCCAGAAGTAGTAAGTTGACATTGGTGAACTAACCAATTCGTCAACAGATTATGGGTAAAATATTGTGTACTTCCTGTCTTATGAAGGCCATAAGTGTAACGTGGAATGTGAAGCCGACGAATTCCAGTGAGATCAATATACATCGGTTTTTGTTTGAAAATGTAGTCAAATATCCTCTTGTTCTGTTGGACCTATGCTCCAGAGATTGTTAGTAACTCTGACTGGAAACTTGTTCTTTTACGGGTCGCCCAAATCACCGTCTCACATCGTGTCAAACGGTACACCTCCTTTGTGTCCACGACATTTTCCAACGCGTTTGCATCATCTAGTAAGATTTACGAGCGTGCGAAACACTCGTAACTAGTTAATTGTTTAGACATAACGCACTAGTAAGTGAACCATCGTAAACTAAAGGTTCAGCTGGACTCGGTTTAGTCTCCTGTCAAGAACGAATTCGCGTGAAAATGAGGTTGTCTGTTTGGCCGTGGCATACTGTGACATGTCAGGTGATGGGACATGTCGTAGGAGGAAAATTAAACGTGGCAGACAAATGGTAAATTTTGTTGTTGGGAATATCCATGGAGGTCATTTCCACACGCACTCGAATACTAATGAACGCATACTAATAGGCACAATGCCTGTAGTTAAAATAACGTCGGATAAATTCTCTACCATAGGTTATCACAAGACTGTCTAACTAACGGTACTCTTCGCGATCCACAAACGCTGACACCGTGTTCACATTGAGTTTGAAATGATATACCCATCACAACTGGTACGATTCAGAAAACTATCGATTGCAGAGATGATTGGAATCTGACCACTGGACCCACAAATTTGCGTTCAAAAGAAACTTGTACAACCTCTGGCCTGCAAAAAATCAGGTCCCTCAAGCCTGTCTAACAATGACGTTACTTACCTGATTTCGGATCCCATTGACCAACCCCCCATTCAGCCTCCCTTCATTTGATTTCTTTTTCAGTGAGTGTATGTACCCTCTACGGCAGCGAAGAATCAGTGTTGAACACAGTTGTCATGCTATCGATGGTGATAGATAATGATGGATTCCCTATCTTAACCTTCTTTTACATGATTTCTGATATTAGATAAATTCGTGATGAGACCCATCGGAACGATCACAGAAAACAAGTTTTGTCCGTTTCCTTTGTTCTTCTCATGACTTCCACGGCTATATCCAACCAAGTGGGGCAGTCCACTTACCCATGCGTACTGTGATATGATTGTCCAAACCGGACACAAAACTGACATGTAGTGCGTTTGCATGATGTATGAAGACAAAACATTTCCGCCGTTCTTTTTTCAGCCGCAGGCGGTTCCGCAAAAATTCTATCAGTGTGAATCAGTTGTGTTGGATCCATCCAGTCAGCATGAATGTTGACAGAGAGGTACTGAATTGCACGCGAAAATGCCGCAGTACATTGGCCACACGAATTTTGGAACAGACTCAACATTTGTTACGTATGCCGAACCATCGTTTTCCGAAGAGAGTGTTGTTTTCCATGCCCAACTCAGAGTGGCGTAAACAGAGGGGTGGCCAACCCTTGACTTGGCAGAGGAGTATGAAGAAGACCAGGAAACGCTTGGGTGCTGTCGGTGCCACTCGCCTTCCAGGATGAGGACCACGTGATCCTCACTGTGCCTGGTTGGAGACACTACAAGATATGGCTGCCAACCGATGTCAGTGGCGTTCTCGTTGTCAGTTTCTGTCCAGATTGCCTGAGTGAATGTCTGGAGGTGTAGGCACCTCGGAATGATTGTGTTAAGCTAGCACTAAGTCCCTTCCCCGTCCACCTTTATTCTATTCTTTACAATAAGGCTTTCAAATAAGTCATGGTTGTACGGCAGTGAAGCATCGGTGTTGAACACTGATGTCATGTTGTCGATGATGATGATGATGGTGGTGATTATGAGGACGATCTTGTCTTTCATACCACACCGGTCGGGGGACCGATAAGTGAATTTCTAACATCCAAAGATTTTCGTGTAGACGTTTGCCTATCTAGGCTGATCACTCCGAATCTGGTGATAGCACTAAAATAGCTCTGATGTATTGTGGATTGGGTCGGAGAAAACCTTACTTGTATCCTAACAGTGTAAACGAAAGAGTGAATTCGTCTGACCGACTTATGATCAAGACCTCTTGGTCATTTCGTATGGAATCAGCTGGCTCAGTTAGTAGCCGAGCTATTAGATAGGTACACTTGACGAAAAGTATACCATTTACGACCAATTTCGTTCAAAACGGTAGATTAAGAAACCAGTTTAGTCAACTAATGTATATCCGTATCCAGAAACACCTAAAATGCATTGTCGGTCTTATTCATGGATATATACTTATAGAAAAGAAAGCATCATTTCAAATAGCTCAAACGATCAAAAACTCTTGGATGTGGAATAATAACATGTTCCAATCAAAGAAGTATATTAACTCCATCAGGATTTACTCAAAAGTACATACTGTTTATTCTGGTTGCACGGTTGCTTTTGTGGTTTTCACAGAGGTCTGCTCTTCATCCGCCTTCTTGTTTGACTCGGTTGGCGTTTCCTCAGTGCCAGATGTTCCCTCAAACTTAACGGCAGCTGGGGAGTTTTCGTCCATTCTGGTCATGTTTTGCAAAATAGTCATAAGTTCCTCGTTAGTAATAAAGACCCATTTCCCACCTTGATCCTCTTTGGATACTTCTGATACTCCCACAGTTTCCGATTTGTTGCTTGTCAGCTCTACTGGCCGTACAGCTGCCTGAGGTTTATCAGAGGGGTCCTCAGAGTGCAAGGCAGTAGTTTGTTCCTCAGGCTCCTTGGTGGTAGGTTTTTCTCCAGACGCCTTTTCCCTGACAGATTCTTGAGAAGGCGCAGTCACAGTGAACACAAGCAGACTGACTGCGACAACGATGAAAATCCGGTAGACTGGTACCATCTTCCGAAACGGCTTCAAAACACAAACCGAATAATCAAGACTTTCTGGAACAAACCAAACTATTTATGGGTTAAATTGTACCAAAACCTTATGAGTGAATGAACCGGCACACAACACACCGTTTTTCTGGGGGCATGGGGCCCGCATTGGCCCGCATTGGTTGGAAACCGAAAATCGACCGAATCGTTTGATTGAATCGAAGTTGACTTTCCCAATCAAAGCATTGCAGTCACGCAGAAGCGGTGTTCGACCAAGTACAAAGCAAGAGAATTGATAAATCGATCGTGCATAATGGCTGCTTAATTCAGATGAAGCGCAATTATGTGGCTAGATCCAGTCAGTACTCAGTTCCTTGTAAAACCTCTAACATTTAGCCTAATGCCGGCAAATGTTCTACGAAGTCCATCAGTATAAACCTAATGGTGCATAGCTACGCACCAGTACGTTTGCAATTAAACTGCCCAGCTCAGCGAACAGGCCAACGACTACCGACGCCACCTGAGCTACCAACATCTATAGAAAACCCACAAAATGTACAACTTTCAGTAGTTTTAAGAGCCTTTCCCAAAGAGAGCAAGTAGATGAGCGTAAGCTGATTCAATGCTGCCTCGTAAACAGCTTTAAAATGATCTAAACCAGTGGAAAGACGACGCCAACTTGGAAGCCACTAACATGATATTGCGACCTAGACGTAGCACACTACTCATAATGTTTCTGAAAAATCTTCTGCAGTCCACAAATGGGCTCGGCCTTTTTGGGGCTCATCAGCTAGGAGCGTTCCCTTAGGTTCCATCAAACTTGTGCTCTACTTGAACACAAACAGTCAGAAATGCTTGTCAAATTCAGCTGGCTTTCAGGCCAATGTCCCATGGACAGTAAGGTTTTAGGTAAGCGAGTGCATTTTTGTGATACTGGGATTGGGCGTACTGTTGTACCGTAATGAGGGAATTCCCCATGACTGCCTCACTCCGTTAGGGTCAGTGTACTAGGCAAGACATAGAATATGAGAATGCACCACCTGCTAATTTTATCAAAGAATACTTTAAAAGCTATCCGTTTTGGCGTACACGTAAGCACTTTCCAGATTAAGGACAAACTGCTGGCACATCTCATCAGTCGGTGAGTAGCTAAAGTACAGTTGGCCTGTTTCTCCTCAAAAGATGAGAAGACCTTGTGTTACCAGTTGGTGCATTGGAAACGGGACTACTATTGCACTGTACCCTAGATGAACGCACTCATCACACTGATCAATCGTGATCAACTTCGTTGAATCCTAGACGTATGATTTATATAGTGATTCCATAGGTCACAAAAGTTGGTTACGGGTTGTTCCGAAGTAGTCTCTGTAAGCTATTCATTATTATTATTATTACCCCCCTGAAAGAAGGATTTTCTCCGAGGGCCTTGACTCTTGCGAACCGCGCATACGCAAAAATGTGGGAGATGGTACTAAAGATGGGGAACTAATGGGGTGATGAATCGAAAACGTTAAGACCGTCACTGGAGAGAAACTCTCTTGTAACAAAAAGTACAAAATAAGTGAACTGGTGTTTCACGTCAAATAGCCGACATCTTGTCAAGACAACGAAATCATATGAACTGAGAAAAAACTTGCTTCAGAAAAATGGGAACCATAAACGAATTTGTTATGTTGTATAGTTAGCTAAGATCGTTCGTTCCGGAGCAACAAGCAAACCTTTTTGTGACAACCGAAGGAAGTGCGGGACATACGTTGTCAAAGGTCGCTGAGCACTTGATAATTGCCTTACTTTTTAAAAACCCGACAATACTAGTTAATTTTACCAAAAGTTGACTCACGAATATGCAACCAGAGAGCACTAAGCATCTATTCTAATTGTAGCTTATGCTGGAATATCTGTCCCTAACAACGAATTGTTTGGCTCTCGGGGTTTGATAACCGGTCGTTGACAACAAACACATCACTTAGAGGACCCAGAAATATGACTTTTTGTTTTTAACCTCTATAACACCCCTTGTTTCTATTCTTCCTCAAAACAAATTTCCAATGCGGAAGCAGTTGATCTTCCAAATATCTCAGTGATGTCAGAACCAAATAGAATCACCTGGGGAAGGTGATAGAGCTCCTATTAAAGAGCTCGACCGAGTAGGCTAGTTCTGAGTGATGAATATCTCTTCGGCAAACGATGTTTTGGTGTACGCAACACATGTCCCAACCAATGCAGCCGTATTCTGACCGTTGAGAGACTCGAAACTACTTTGTAATTTGGTCTACAAATTGGCCTTAGAATCAACAGCCTGGGTAGACAGAAAATTGCATTTTTTTACGGTTTTTACTTTTCCCTGATTGGATCATTAAAGTGATCGTGTTTCACCTACCCTTGGTTCTGTGGTACTTGCTTGGCTACGTAAAAGTAAAGTCTTTATTTCGTGAGACAATGTGTTTGATAGGAATCGGTCTGTAAAGTACTTTCGAGGAATGGTTCACTCTTAAGTACAGTCACAGTTTTTCACGTGAATTTTCTGGAGCGGTTAATCTGCTGTGACTCCATCAATGCGATTTAAGGATAACGCTTACGTGTACTTTGAATGCTCACAGTAGAGAATTTTGGCAAATTCAATTCATTCTGGGTTGGAGTAGTATACAAAGTGAAGCGAAACTCGAGGCCTACACGTACCTGATGAAACTCAAGGATGAGACCAACACTAAGCTGTCAACGAGATTTCAACAATCTTTTTGCTTACCATTCCATCGTGTGCAAGGACATAAATATGTACTTTCCTCTAGTTGAGGCCATCCAGATCGTACGTTATATTCAATTACTTAGTAAAAAGAACATTACCCCGATTTTCCAATCGTGCAAGGAAAGGACATTATTCTTCGCCCCAATCTGTATGACGAGGGTTTTCGGTTCGGAGGATGTGATCATAAGTGGAGCCCCGTGAACAGACTGTACATCGTTTAGTGGTATGACAATCACTTGGTTTGTCGCTATTTTTCATATCTATACCAACTTTTTTCGACCGACTCGACCGACGCGCAACTTCCAAGGACAGAGACGTTTAATCTCTCATGATGTGGCAGAGCGTGAATCAGTTCATCTGACCCAGTAACTATACAAATCGGCAATCATCCGGTGATTTCTGACGTTGAGTAGGAACTATGAGACCATTTGTCCTTGAGCCAAAGCCTCACAGTACACCTCATGAATTGCTGCCAGACGCATAAACCATTTACTGTCACCGGTAAATCTTTCTAATGGTATGTGGCTTAAAAATCCTAGTGGAGCCAGTCTACGCTGAGGGACAATCATTCTACAGCTTATGATGTTGGTTGGTTGCGGGATTTTTTAGAATACATACTCGTTTGAACAGTCGTCCTCCTGTCCATTCTAGTGAGTCCACATCAAAGGGGGAAGCACTGGAATCGATTTCCGCCTTTATTAGAGCTTATCAGCGGTGCATATCCAATGACCGTGTCGGGGTTTGAACTCGGCACGTCCGACACACGAGATAAGAGTGTTATCACTACTCCAACAACTCACGCAGAGCTTATCCGATTGTTTTTACTTCTGAGTAGGTGAATATGTTCGTGCTTGAGTGATCCAAACGGAATGTCCGACGGCTCGAACGAAGACCCAGTAACATAACTTAGTTGCGTTTATCGATTAACCCGTTAGGGAGGACTTCTTCCACAGACGCTTGAAACCTGCTGGACAAGTGCCGCAGATGTTGTTGGTTGCAAAATTTTGTAGTAGTCATCGGCGGAGCGTGTCTCACGATTCCCAAGAATCGCGCCAAACATGTGAACATAGCTTCCCACGTTTTTGAAACAGAGTAATTTCGCTTGAATGATACGGGATGTAGGGAGATATCCTCATGCGTTTTCATTTGATAGGTCAATGGACATTACAGCAGTGAAACGTCGGTGTTGAACACTGATATCACGCTGCTGATGATGCTTGCCGTAGCTCATTTTTTGGTTCGCAAGAATCATCTGCGAAGCTTGGTAAACTTCCAGGATTTCCTAAGAACGGGATTACCAAGGCTTTCCAAAAACTTCTGAAGGTTTTTATTTTCTCCTACCGATTCAACGGTAAGGACAGTGAGGTTGGGATTAAGTGACCACCTTTGGAATGAGGATATTTACCCAAAAGAGATTATCCAGCGATGGCTGGAGATCTGAAACTACTTCATGCCTCCAAGAAAATTTTCGCGACTGATATCTCTTGTTTTTACAGTGTTGCTGATTTTCCTTTCCATTGACTTTTTAGCGTTCAGCCTTTGGAATGAACCAACCGATGTGAATATGTGTAGGTACCTGGCCCTACCTTAAATCCGTTTGGGTAACTGGCAAGCGGAGACCTATAAGTGTCGACAAGACTCAGGTAAAGCGCAGTGTCTGTCGGTAAAAAATCAGTATACAAGTCGTGCACCCTCCCCAACACTCAGTCATTTTGGAGTAAAGTCACAAACTGTGTACTTCAGATCACTGCTTGCTGCGATCGTGACCATCAGAGCCAATTTGCTGTATTTTCTTCAACAATTTTGTATGCGGGTTATTAGAATACTTATCCATGACTGTGTTCACTTTTCCATAGTTGAACAAAAAGAATAGACTGATAAGCAACGTTGCACTCACTTGGTAGTTGGATATGAAAACCCCAGTTTACTTCCCAGAAACATCATAACTGTCCTCTCCATTCTGTTGTTGTTAACTGAAACATCACCATCTTACGCCCAACTTCTGTGTAGGCTACCCTGTGAATTTTGCACTACTCCACCAAAATCCAGCACCCTTCTTGCTTTCACTCTAACCCACTGACCGCTAGCATGGTTTTCACATGGAGCGACATCCGTACCAGGTTTTCTAGGCTTCTGGAGTCACCATTCCAACTTTACGAATGTGTAAGTTCTGGTAAAATGGAAGTACCGAATGAGCCGTGGTCAGACAGTTCGTGTATTAAAAATATTTCATTTTAACCACGATTCTCTTTTTTTACTCCGCACCGTTTCTTCCC